TTCAAATAATAAACATTCCATTTATCGATAAAAAGTGCTCAATCGAAGGCAACAATTTTATTGTATTCATCGAAAATATTTGTTCAATTCAGTCCTTTTGTTGTTGTATTGATCTGTTGTTTATATACGTACGTTTTAAAACCTCTTGGTCTGCCTAGTTTTGGTTATTTATAATTATTCACCGCAATAATAGTCCTCGATGGGCAACTTTCGTAATTAAACTGTTTTAATTACTGGACGATGTGTTCCATGAAAACTTCATTGCATGATAATTAAATGTAACCATTAGTAAAAGGACGTGCATAATGAATAATAAAAAGTATTTGCAAACAATTTGAGTTGATGCAAAGTCCCTAGAGGTTCACTTTTCCAACAAGTCTGAAATGCGAGCTAGCGGATTGTCAGCTTCAAAGCAAGAATGTTTTTTTATGTACGTTCAAACAAAGTGTTCTCCCAATTTGGAGGACAAGTTGATTTAATTTATGCAGAATCTAAATACTGACATGTCTCAAGGAGCAAACGAACCAATTTTGTCTCGAAACGGAAACTCCAACAGGGGAACATAAATTCTTATTTGCGATCTTCATACTTCCGAAAAAAAATGAACCTCCATCACGCGCAAAGTATATACTCGAACATAAATATAAGAGCCTCTAACGACAATTTTTTACGAGATATACGTAAATTTTACACGAGGAAACGTCTCGACAAACATTTTCCTATAATATTCCTCGTGATAGCTTCGCCGAATGTAATAGGTACAAGACGGGAATGGAATTATTTGTTTAGATATTCACTCTCGTTTTATTGACATTGCAATGAAAAACGGATTTTAATGAAGCTGGGGAAATACCGGGCATTATCTTCAGCTTTTTGCTCCACATTCCATTCTAGCTTCATTTTAAACGAAGCCGATATTTGCCTGATTCAGTAGTACATTCACATCTGTTACTGCATTTGTTCTGTCCGTTGTAATAAAATTTATTCACTTTTTTGATGTTTTCACCCTGAGATCTATATGGCCACTTATGCCGACTATCCTTATAAAATAAGACGTAGTATCGGTTCTGATGTGATCCGCATGATTTAAGTATAAAAGAAGTCACAACAGAAACGAGCATTTAGTCATTAGAAGTCTGGTCAGAAGTCATAAGAATTGAGTCTCAGATAGTCTTAGTTAGTCTAAAGACAGTCTTATGATGTACGAGCCATAAGTCATAGTTAAGGTTCGGCCACAACTAAAATCTAGTGTTTGTATTAATTTGAAAATACATTTTTTTAAAAAGCAAACCAAATTAATGAAAAATATTATATCAGGTCCATTCTCGTTGTTTAGGATTTTTTTGAAGAACGTGCTCAAAGCGGAAGTTCTGTATGAAGAAGTCCAAAAGAATGTCGCCGCCATAGTTTCTGTGTTTCGAAAGATTATTTGTTTATACTCGCATAAGCAGTTTATTCTGGTGATGAATTTACTGCTTGAGTCAAATCTAATTAACTTATTATACACACTGTTATTTATTCGGATTAGTACCACAATTATTTCGATTTGAAATATGGATATTCTATCTAATTTAAACGTAGTGAAAGGCTCAGGTTTCGAAAATTAGTTCATCATTAAATATAGACTCGTTTAGAACGCGGTTTCATATTATATTAATACCTAATTATTATTATATCCTGAACAATGACATTCTAATCACTAATGCCATCCGAAGAAACTTATTCAGTGTTTAATTAATTCAATCCGATTAAACAAATTCAGGCTTTCAAATATTATATGATTGCTTTACTGCAGCCATAATTATCTAATCATCATAATTAATTAACTAATTTATTAGTATTGAATTGCTTAATTTGCTGCCATTATCTATTAGAGAGGCTTCATTATATTGATTGGGGTACTTGGATTGGAAATATTGCCACAGTCTTACATAATTCATACACTTGCACAACAGGTGGCTTTCACACTACATCTATTGACTATTAGATAGAAATATTCGGTTCGAATGTTTTTAAATTGATAATTTCTCCTACTTAGTGAAATTTTGTTATTAGCCAGCGTTCATGTTCAGGCTCAAATCGTGTTTATTTGGCACTTCTGTAGGTTTCCAAAGTCAGAAAATTCTGGATATTTCCTTCGCTGTGCAGTTGACAAACTGCAAATCGAGCTTTTTTAACAGCCAATATCAAAGTTGAATTGTAACACAAGTATGGAGGTGAAATCGGTCGATAGCAATTCCCAGCTAAAAGCTGCAATCTAAAAGCATTTCACAAATGCAGTGGTTCTGATCGATAATTGAAATATCAATCGCAAGAAGTGTCTCGGAAGTTTGCTAGTTTGAGCGATTATGAGCTTATATGCGTTAATATTATATTATGGTAGCATTAGTAGCAGCAGTAAACTTTATGATGCAGTAAGTTTGCACAGTCACTCGTAATTGAAGCATTATCAGGATCGCTGAATTAATTAGCAAATATTGATGATATCCATTCTTAATTGTGTGTTGAAAAATTATGTAAAAATAAGGCTCACAAGCTAAAGTCCAACAAATAACACATGAGAAAGAAAAAAATAAATTTTTACACCATTTTGTGATTATCGATGGAAAAAAATAGAAAACAACTGAAGCGGGACTATGGAAGCACGTTTTATCGATTTTCAAACAATTACCTCATCAAGGTTTCGGCTAACGATTTTTCGATTCAACAGCAAAACTTTAATGGAAAATTAAACATAAGTTCTTTTGTAGGTTTCAACATAAGTAAAAGAAAATGAAAAATACTCAAACACTGATTTGGAATTTAGGCTAATGCTAACTGCGGCTAAATCAATAGTAAGTTATTTTGAATCAATAGATCAGGACGTGATGTAAGAATTTTAGTCACTTACGCTTGAAATACTAATAAAATTACTCTTATACTTAGATATACCATAGAGGAAGCCAAACTGAGTCTTGTTTATTTGGGAGCCGAATCTGTTATTTGTTTCTCTAATCTTTCTATCTCCAGTGTCTTTCTTTCACATTTCATTCCTTCTAAGTAACCTCCTCAATCTTACTTCAGAAACGATTGTTACAGATGTGCACTTCTTTCTCACATCTAGATGATAATTTCTTTTATTTTTCATAATGATTGAGAAGAAAAGTTGAGAAAAATTTTCTAACTCTATTTTAAGAAATCTTTTGGCTATGAAGTCAAGTGATTTCAATACTTCCTGCTTTCTGTACAACACTGTTTTAGATACGTAGAAGCTCCAGAAAACAATACAAACCAATCATTAAAACTCGGTATACCTTGAACACAATCTTTCCTTATTAACGTAAGTTGGGTAACAGTGAAAAGTTATTTTTGTTTGGGCAGTTATTTTCTGAAAGTGAAGTTAATTCGTAGATATTAAACGACCGACAAAATGTTTAATATAATAGAAAAACATATATTTTTAAAATAAATCCATCAAGCGGAACAATTGGATTTCACTTCTTAATCTTTTCAAGCCATTAGTTTCCTCCAAAATAGTTTAATACACTATAATTAGATTCATTAAAGAAATGGATTACTAGTGATGGAACAGTGAGTCCAAAGGAGGATTGACTGGCCAACGAAGGAGACAACGACGGACAAGGAGAGACGCAAAAAAGCATTTTTGCCAAAAAAAGATCAACACCTTTTGAAAACAGCAAATGCATAGATAACATATTGATAAATGATGTAATAAATTTACTTAAAATCATTGATGGAGCCAGATAAATTCAAGACAAATGCAATGAAGATAAATCTGCATGCTAAAAATAGGGACTAAACTCGTAACACTGGTAAACTGGTGGAACAAGAGAATAAAGGGCAAAATAAAATGAGTGGAAATAAATGGAAAGTGAAAAAAAGAAGAAAACATTGCTATTATTGATGGTAATCTTTCAAAAATGAAACACAGAACAAACAATTTTAGATAAGTTAAGAAAAGGGAAAACGCTTTAATAACATTTCAGATATCACCGAATAATGTAATAAATCATGAGATTTGGGGATTAAACCGTACTAAAGTAATCTTATAAATGCGCAAACAAACTACAAAAAACTAATCAATTATTTTATTGATGAGTCTTCCAGTCTCTTACTTTCCATCCATTTGTTTAATGCCATTTTAATGCTGTAAAAATACAATATTGGTATATTCAGATTTTGTATTGATTGAACAATAGCGATAACGTTTATTATTGAAATTGTGCCGTACTTTTTGGAAACGGCAAAGTACTGGCAGATTTAACAGTTGCCATGTTGGCCAATTTAAAGTGGGTTATCAAATTGAACTGGAATTAATCACCGCTATTGGCAGCCGAATTAGCGGTTTAACCTGCAGGAATATTTATTAAATTTTCGAGCGATTTAACAAGCTGAAACTGTAAGTGGAGTAATATCTTTGATATTGTGCAACTAATTATAATTAAGCACGTTCCACTGTATCATGTTCCACGTTCATCACAAAACGCGAGAATGTCGACTTCGCATTTTGTTGCTAATAAATAGGCTAAGTTAAGATTTCCAAAGTAGTTGTTGTTGTACCGAGGTATCTGAAATAAAAAAATTTAAAAACCATTTTTCTTAAAGGCGTATTTTAACTGTGGTAAACCTTTTCCATTGCACCTCTTCAATGCAAACTAAGATTGGAAGTTTAAGAAGAGGAGAAATTTTATTTTTGATGGTTCTCCTGAAGAAAACTTAAAAATACTTGCATTATAATTTCTGAATATCAGTTGGATCCAGAAAAACATTATGGGCTTGGCTTGAGATCAAGTCGATTTCTGGATCTAAGCTGCAGGGTTAATCCGCTAAGCTCAAAAAATTGCCTGTTGAAGCGCTGATAAATTGATATAGTTGGTTGCAGTGCAGGTTTAAATACAGTATTTTTTTGAGGAATTTGTATTGTAAAATATACTTTTACAATTTACTCATAGAGAATGGACCATCGCTGACAATCTAATGCAATTTTCATTGTTCGACAGGTCGACGCAGGATGTAATTCTCTAAAGTGCTTGTCAGTGTCGATTGGAAGTTCTGAATTTAGTGGATGTGCTTTCCAATTCAACCGTTACAAAACAGACATGGTATTGTTGACGACATGAGATCTAGGCTGATTGGTGTCGTGAAATGGATAAAGCTCACCGTCCTGCTTGCTTTACTGACATCTGCAATCGGTAAGTCTAATAGTCCCAGTTTTATTTGAATGCTAACGGGATGTTTGCATTTCGCCTGCATGGATTCCAACTCAGTCTTCGTCGAAAAAATTTAGCTCAGCTGGCTAACAAGCTTCTCGTATTAAATTAATGTAGAAGTCCTAATTTTTTTCACCTGAAAATTTTAAACACCTTTTCAACTCCCGTCCTAATAGCGTAAATGTGTTAGCGGGAAAAAAAACGTTAAATTGTGCCTGCCAACAGTCCTGAGAGAACAATTCTTAATCACCAGGCTCTCGTTAACTGCCATGCGGGTATCTCTTATATAAATCCGCATAAAAATTGTGGTAAACACACCGTTCCAATCAACTTTTCAAGTTTGCCACCAGCGTGCGAGACACTTTTCAATAAGTAACAACGATATATAGTTTTCTTCATGCTCGCTGATATTTTGTTACCGATTTCCGCAAAGTACAAACCCTTTTATCCTTTTAAGAAACTTTGCGCCCCATATTCTCAGCGGTTGTCTTTCACAATCTTTATAAAGTGATGCAACTCCTTTGAGGTATACGTTTCTGAAGCATGTCTTGATTTCAGCCTCGAGTTGGGAATTTGGTAAAATGATTCTTGATAGTGACTTGGTTGGAATATGACCTAATAAAATACACAAATCGAGTGAAAAACCTCGTAACTTTATTGCTATTGGTGTTAACTCAGAATGAGGATACTACCAATTTTTAAACTGGAATTCGATTTTTCAATTTCCTAATTGACAAAAACGCTCGTTTATGATTTTCTCTGTTATGTAAGTGTACATTTTCTTATCCATTTCTGTAAAAAAGTTTCGAAATGTGAATTGTGGATTAACAGTAAAGAAGTCTTACCGCACGTGTTTGAGAGGAGAAAGCGACTTATTCGCTCACGTGGAGTTCAATAACAGGTCACAGGGGACATTTTTCTGCGTAAAATAGAAAAATGTAAAAACACCCCATATGAAAGGCTTCGAGTGTTTAGCGTTCCTTTGAACACCCCACTTAAGGAAGGATTCGTCTACTAATAGCTGTTATTGATCATTTTGGAACAGACCTCAACATTTGCCTATTGCTTTTTGAGTTAACAAACTCCTGCGAGATTCGACGTTTTTAGAAAATTTCAAAATACAACTGCAGCTTTCAAGCTAGTAAGGTTTCTATCTATATCTATACAATTTTTGCCTTCTGCAAGCTTCTGAGTGCAACTGGTAATTTGCTGATAAAAATATATACAACTGAGTACATGTATCTACAAGGTACTAAACGGATATCGAGCCTAATCCATCAGTTATAGTAAAGCTCCACAAAAACTTTCGCTCCTAAACCTTTGTAAGGTTTAGTAGTAAATCCCTCGCGATCTATCCAGTTATTTCCCGGAGATCAGAACAATGAACTTTGATCATATGGGATTAATTGGATTAAACTTTAAATAAAGTAGGTAAAACGGAGCTTAAACTGATTATTTAGGCTCCGGCGGTGATTCTAAGCCGTGGCCGAAGCCGGTCCCTACTGGAAAAGAGGTTTTCGTTTTGGAAAAAAGAACCGTAAAGTTTTAATGATCAGCTAACTAGTGGTCGATAACGGTGTATTTGAAGGGGTTTAATTATTTATTCATTCGAGGCGAAGTTAGTGAAGGCACCGGTTTAAAGCGCATTTTTTACGATAGTTGTTCAATGCTTGATTGCTTATGCCTTTAAATGTTCTGTTTTTCGCTTACAAATTTGCGTTTGTGTAACAGTAAAAAAATTATATGAGTTTCTCAATAATATTTTTGCTAATTATACTTCTGCCCTTCCAGCTATTTGCTGTGTTTATCTTTAAAATTTTAATTTGAACACGACTTGCATAAATTTACAAAGAAGTTTCCCCGTACTTTATAAACTGTAGCCGTGTTATCCAGTTCTCTGTAAATTATAACTGTGAGGAGATAGGAAAGGATCATTATTCACTTTGATACTAGAATGAGACTGGATTTTACTTGTTTTTGATGTTATATATGGCGTTTTTTACTACTATTTTCGACTACCTCAATCTGCATACTTAAGTGAATAAAGAAAATATCGTTGGTTAAAGATTCAAACCGCTCAAAATTTTGGAGATTATCTTGGATCTGAATAGTCTAACATCGTGTGAATTAACGTCCGTTAATTCGTTGCAATTCCCGTTTTCGTGCAATGAAAATTATATGGAATTTGAGGAGTTTTGAGCCCTTTGAGTTTTCAGGAAAAACTTCGCTCACAGATAGCTTTAATTATGAAGTAATTAATGTGTGGTCAAAGTCAAAGTTTGTTGAAACTTGATTGTGTTCATTAGAAGATTTCTTCAACTTTATTGAGCTGGGAATCGAATCTATTAAAGCTGAATCTGCAGTGTTAAAACCCATTTCCCAGCATATATTTATTTGTACCTAAACGGATTTGAGCAAAGAAGCCCTCGACTCTTTCGATATTTACGAGTTTTCTCTAAACTTTGTTTTCCTTTTATTTTCCACTAACCCTAAATGGAGTTTGACAAGAAAAAACAACTGACCTGGAAAAATAGGTGCTGACACATAAGTGCGAGGATTTCCGAATCCCAATACTGGCATAGTCGAGTAAACCGTGTGGTTCGCAGATTTCTCTTTTAAAATAAATTCAACGAATTGAGTGAAAACAATTCAATCGCTGCTACCAAATTCGTTCCTCAAATAAATGTGTTTTATGAATGCTGACTCAAGTGTTATTTTTGGGTTTGGGCCAGAATCCATCACTGGCATGGAATCAAGAGTGTACTTTCAAAATGTAGCTGCCGTTGGACAAATTTCATTTTAATGAAGACATTTTAAAGACTCTTTTTTGAGCACATTATAAACAAAATTTACTGAAATTACAATTTTTAAGTTGAAGACTTAAATTTAATTTCGAGCAACCGTCAGAAAGCGCAGCTCATCCCAGACATAAAAACTGAAGCTACACAAAATAGAAAAACATATGGCAAATACTGAACTAATAAGTAACGAAATAGAAACAATAAAGACATGCTTTCTTCAAGGAGACATTATTGAACCTCCCTTCTTCCAGTTCCACACAACGAATATTTATATATGTAAATTTCATCTGTAAAACCAATAGGCCTGCAATGGCTTGCCCAAGAAAAACGTTTTATATGAAGTTATTTTCTTATCCAAGAGTAAAAAATAATTAATTGTTTTCCAAACGTACCTAATCATTTACACCATTCCGCTTCGATTTGTACAGCATTAAAGTTCGGACAAGACTTCTTGAAAGCCAAATCGCATTTAAATCCGCAAAGGATACCATTACCATCATCTTCCATTTCCTATTTATTGAAATCAAAATGTGTTTTCGAAAAGTAATTTTCTGATTAAAATAAGGTGCTGGAGGAATTCTGCTGCAGTAAATAATTGCTTACGTGTCCAAACTGCAAACTTTTGCCCGGTATCGCTAAAACGTTGTTCCTGTGGAGTATTGTTGGATCGAGTTTTATAATGGACTATTGGTTTTGTAATGAATTTTCTCCAGGGTATTATTTCGGTCTGTTTAAACAACGATACATTTACGGAACTTTGCGACTAGCGAATAGAGCCAGTGTAAGCTAATGATCTTTTTTATCCGTTTGGTTGGATTTTGAGGATCTCGATTGTGTTCGTAGCAAATTCGTAATTTTTTAAAAATTTATTTTTCTGTCACGTTTTGACCTATTTGGCAAGCAAAAACCTGACTCTCTAGTGGGACGAGTAATCGCATTTTCAAATTAAGCAAATAATTTTTTTTTCATAGAAACTTTTTTGGGATTTTTTTTACTACTGATTTCTTGACATTACTATAATTTTGAAAATGAGTCTTCAAGTCTTTAAAATGCTATTTATTTTAATATATGTTTTTACCTTAAGTCTGCTTCCCAAATTCTTAACACTCTAATAACGCCTATAATAAAATATGACCATAATTTTAGTAGTTGGTCAAGTGAGGGTTTCTTTGTTCGTCTGTTTCCATTTTGTTGCTCCTCTGAAATGGTCATTACTTAATTATATTGCTTCCATATAGAGTTTTTATAACAATAATTTACTTTTTAAATTTTTTTGTAGCTTCCTTGCTGCTTTTTTCAATGGGAAAGCACACAAATCATTGAAACTTCCTTGATACTATGCCAATAATAAAATTTTCATTATATCAAAAACTGGACGAAAGATGCCAGAATCCATCGAACCATATAACCAACCATATAAATAATTGCAAGTGAACGTTTTTTTTGTATTTTTCCTTTTGCACTGTTTGTGACAGTACACGAGCGAAATCCAGCAGCATACAAACCGACTGAATGGTAAAAATCGAGCAAGCCTCAAAACTTTCAAATCTAGATTTGCCATTTTTTTTATTTGCCACTACCTATTGAACCGCAAATGTCGCATGTAGCGTCATTTTTTTTCGTCAGTTCGCATTTACACACGATTCGTTTCTATTGTAGGGTGATTTTTAACTTTGACATGTTTCCGCTATGTGTATGTATTTTTCTGGGCGGTTGGCGCTGGCTGGATGCACTTTGTGTACTGATTCGTGAAAGGACTGCGAAATAAAGTGGAAAATGAAATGGCGGAAAACGTTCTAAATTTAAACCGTTCGAAATAAAGCGCCCTCGAGTTTTCTTTCGAATTGTAAAATGAAGTCACCGTCGGGTACTTTAACAAATTACAAGACCTGTTGGGGTCCACGGTTTCTGGTATTACATATTTATATGGGTGCAGGTGCATTCTCTTACGGGACAATATAGCTTTTTTCAATTAGAGCTGAATTTACAGTTTCGGGTTCAAGAAAAATTCCATGAGTTTTTCCTATTTTCACGTACGGAAATGCAGGAAGGAGACCTACATTATGCTTAATTCGCATTTTTATGCTTTTCAGCTTTATGAGTGAGTTTGTTTCTTTAATATTTCTAACTTTTAGTTCAATGGTATCTCAATTCTGCTCATTTCAGTCACTTCGTTAGTCA